CCGTACGCCCGTCTAGAAGTTGCATCTGCCCAAAAACATCGACTAAACCTGTTATCGCCATCTCCCTCAATCTTGAAATAAAAAGCCTCATTTTTTTCTGTTCAGCCATAAAATACTCGGTCACTAGTTCAACATCGTGATTCCTCAGCTTCCCATTCACACTACATTCAAGATTGTAGATATCTTTTATGATAAAACCGATTTTATCCATTCCTTCGGACTGCACCTCGAAAATACTTACCTTCTGATTAATGGGAATATCAACCGAACCCAACTGTTTTGTGAGTACTTATGTAGAATCTGAAATACGACAGTGTGATCTCAATAAATGCATTCTTTCTGAGGGTGTCATCTTAGGATTGTGTCCCTCTGCAAAAAGAGAGATGGTATACTTCTTGCTCCAATTTGCCTTCACAACCGCAATCTTAGCTTTGCAATTGCATCTACTTATTCCCCGCTGTCTTTTTCTCTCCCGAGTTTCATCTTTTCTGTATGCACCTTGTTTGCAACATACAAATTCTTTCCTCAGAATCTCTTTTTTATTTTTCCCCCAAAAGCTGGAATGAAGTCGAATACCAAAGCTAGCCAAGAATGCATATCTATTATAGAAATTATAAATGAGGTCAAGCAAGTCGAACTTCATCCCAACTGCTGGTGTTTCCTCATTTCTTACTTCAGGAATGTAAACCCTCCCATTAGCTGTTATACAGTCATCACTCTCTGAGCCCCAAGACATTTTATCCATGTATATTATTGATCTACTTCTATATTACTGCATACCAAATATTGATTCATTAATCAATCATTCACAACATATCAATGCATCACAACATATTAATGCATTTCATAACATGTCTGACATTGCCCAAATTGACACAAAACACGCATAGCCTAGCTTGTTGGATTCTGATTACACAAAACGCAAGCAAAATTTAATAATAGTTACGTCATCTCTTGTGAAATAATGTGGAAAAAATAACATTAGAACCAACACGTTCAACTAAGAACACAAATATAATTCAAACCAGCAATTACAGAATTTCACCCAATATCCTCTCCAAATGCTAATGCCATTAAGCCTAAGTTTAGAATCTTTTACCTACATTTCATAATTTTCCACCCGCTCCCCAAAAAAAATCAACTAAGTATATTGAATATTCATAACGAAATGACGCATTATTGACAGCAAACATGACGCATTATTGATTCCTCGAATGATGCATTATTGATGCCACAAATGACGGATTTCCCACCCTCACAAAAAACAAACCAAACCCCACAAAATCAATCCAGCAAGAGTGAACTTACCTCTCAAAGTCAATCGGGAGCTTCGAAGTCAGTCAGCTCGAGAGAATGTGGTGGACATTAGAGAAGATTCTTTGGTAGTGGAGACTCCATCTCTACCAAAATCGAGGAATAACTGCTGCTGCGGCGTCTAGCTACAGAAAGAGATATGCTACTTTGCTTTCATATGGAATCTCGTCTGCTGAACGAAAAAGAGAAGGGGTTTTCACTTGAGCCATAGAATCAAAACAGGGCAATAGCTGGGTAAGAGCCATTAATCGTCATACAGAGGATACCATAGATCGCAGGCCTCCCAAGGAGCTGATGACAATGGAGCGACTATAGGTTTGGGAGCTTTGGATCTTTCTAATTGTGGGTTTGCATTACATTCAAAAAGTGAGGATTGTGTTCTTGAGTTTTTCATAGAGAGGGAAATATCTTCAACTGAAGTTGGGTTTCCAACGGGTCAGATTTCAACCCAGTTCTACGTGCACCCTCTTTTAAAAACTCACCGTTGGATGAAATCCAACGACTCTTACATACCCCTCAAAAACACCCCTTATAACTTTCCACTCACTATAGAAGCCCCCTCTTTAAAACGAGCTATCTTGGGCCAGATTTGGAGGAGATTTGAGACCAAAACGTGGCTGGGCAGATTGTGGGCAGATTCTCCTAATCCAATTTGGACTTTATTTCCTAGTCTTATTTTATTTTAACTTAGTTTCCTTGTGGGGATTGGGTAGCTAAGTTTTAGGAGGTATTTAAGCTCCTTTTCACAGCAACTTTTGGGGACTTCCTTTTGACTTCTTTTTGGCTTTTGGAGCAATTGCTAGGGTTTTGGATTTTCACGACTTTCAGGTGTTTTCATTCTTACTCTTCTTAATGACATTTTATTGGATTTCAATTATGAGTATGCGTAACTAAATCTCTTTTGCTAGGGTGAAGCCTTGAGCCTTAGCACGAATATGTGATTTTTATTTAATTGCTTATGATTGAGTGCATGCATGTTTTGAATTGTTAATCACTGTTTTAAACTATCTGATTGTCTTAATGCCTGATCACCATTAGGATCTTTAGAAAAGTAATTAGATGCAATTTTGGTGGGAAGGTTCCCTGAAATTGATGCTAGCTTCCTGTGATTAATAATTGTAATTTCACTTAAGATGAACACCACGTCTTAAGGGTTGCATAGTTTTTCAAATTCACAAAACTTAATGAGTCTTTCATGTTCAGAATTGATCCAAACGTCCGGACGGGTTGCATGTTAGATATATGTTCTATGTTGGAGGTTCCAAGTAGAATATAAATTAGGAAAACCTAACCTTCAAAGTGGCATGTGCAAATCATAAGTAATTGGTAAATATTCATAGGATTGCTAGGTGATGGTGGAACCCTAGTGCTTTTATAAATTGATATTCAAAACTTCTTCCTTCAATCGTATTTGTTTTTGTTTAATATTTGTTTTTAGAATCAACCAACTTCATATTCATCTTTCTCTACTTTTAATTTTAGTTAGTTAATTAGAAATTATTTTCACATAAATTGCTAAATAGTCCTTGGGGAGAACGACTTTGCATGAGCATCTATACTACAATAGCCTTGTATTCTTGCAAGTATTTTACGTGATTTTAACCCTATTTGCACAGGTCCTAAAAATCCTATCAAGAAATTGGCGCCGCTGCCGGGGACTATTTTGGATAATTTTTGTTAAAACTTTTTCTGATTTATTTTTTATTTATTTATTTTTATTTTTGTCGAAAAAAAAATATTTTGAAATTTGAACAGTTTCGTTTTTGTTTCAGATTCTAAAGATTGCATGGTCCAAACCAGATTAGGAACTGCACAGCTTGCACAGTTTGATCCATAACCAGAGCGTACCCTGCATAAACAGCAAAAGTTGCAGATTTTGTTTGCAGCCGAGGGTACTATGTCATTAGCAATACCTGCAGCAGGCAGACCACTCAGAGAATCGTTGGCAGCCCGTGCCACTGATGTCCCCAATTGCATTGTGTATCCTGAACAAGAAGAAGGTGATTCGTTCAAGATCAAGCACCATATGCTTGAAATTCTACCCACTTTTCGGGGGCTGCCTAATGAAGATGTGAACATACATATTGCAAAATTTATTGTGGGTTGCAAGAATATTTTGATTTGGGGTTTTTCTGCTGAAGCTATCAAGTTACGTCTTTTCCCTTTCACTTTGAAGGACAAGGCATAAACTTGGTTATTCACTCTACCAGCTAATAGCATTACTGCTTGGCAGCAGTTACACACAAAATTCCTGAACAAATATTATCCAGCATCCAAGACATTGAATTACAAGAGGGAGATATTGACATTCATACAGAAGCCTAATGAAGAGTTTCATGCAGCATGGGAGAGATATACAGAGATGTACATAAAGTGTCCACATGTTAAGATTGATTCGGATACACAGATGAATATTTTCTTTGATAGGCTTAATCCTACATCTAAAAGCCATGTGAATGCATCAGCTGGAGGATCGTTGTCAAATAAATCTGCAAGAGAGGCATTTGAACTGTTTGATATGATGGCTACAGAATCTCAGCAATGGGTAGCAGAACCTTCACAGAAAAGAGGCATTTTTGAATTATCTGCAAGTTTTCCCAACATGTCTGCACAAATGGAAAAAATGGTGAAGAAAATTGATGCAAAGTTTGATATTCTTCTACAACATATAGCAAGTTCTAAACAGCAGCCACCTGCAACAATAGTTTGCACTATTTACGGCATGGCTACACACGACATAATGGGCTGTCCGCATAGAGATTCTTACCCAGAGCTTGTTGAACAGCATGTCAATATGATGAACAACTATCAAAGGCCTAGGAATGATGCATATGCCAATCATTACAATCCAGGATGGAGGGATCATCCTAATTTCAAATGGGGTGACAATCAGAATAATGCAAAACCATTCCAGCATGCCCAAAAACCTTTTGTTCCCTTCAAACCATCTCTAGATGATCAACTAGCTAAATTGGCAGCAACAACTCAATCATTCATCGAGGGCAACAATCAAAGATTTCAAAATGTTGAAGCATCAATTAAAAGTTTGGAGCAACAATTTGGACAGCTTGCTGCACAGATTTCAGACAGAGAAAAAGGCAAATTTCCTAGTCAAACAGTTCCTAATCCAAATGGACGTGAAGATTGCAATGTTGTTCGGACTTTACGATGTGGAAAAAGCTATGACAATCGTGAAAACAGCATTGAAAATGAGCAACAAGCAGTGGAGAATAATGCAGAAAATTTTGCAGCAGCAGAACCTGCCAAAACTGCAGAAAAACATAACCTAGCAGATTTGGAAATTGTCCCAAAACATGTTTTACAGCGTGTCTATGACCCTCAATTACCTTATCCTGAACGTTTGAAGCCTAAAGCGAAGGACCAGTAACTCAAAGACTTTATGCAGACATTATCTAAGGTTCAAATCAACATTCCATTGCTGGATGCGATCAAGAAAATTCCATCATATGTCAAGTTTTTGAAAGAAATTTGCAGCAGCAAAAAGAAGCTTGCAGATTTGGACAAAGTCGTTTTGACAGAACAATGCAGTGCAGTTTTGCTACACAAACTGCCACCTAAGAAAAAAGATCCAGGGAGTTTTAATATTTCTTGCACTATTGGAAATTCTAATTTTAAAAATGCTTTAATTGATTTGGGTGCAAGTATTAATTTGATGCCTATTTCTATTTTCCAGCGATTGGGGCAAGGAGATTTAAAGCCTACATCAATGATACTTCAACTAGCTGACCGTTCAATTACTTATCCAAGAGGTGTTAGTGAAGATCTCATTATAAAGGTTGATAATCTTTACCTACCGGCATATTTTGTGGTTCTAGACAGGGACGAAGACCTTCAAACACCTATTATTTTGGGGAGGCCGTTTATGGCCACTGCTAGGACTTTAATTGATGTGGAAGTTGGAACATTGACTCTACGGGTTCAAGACCAATATGTGGTATTTAATTTGTTTGAGAATGTAAAATGGCCTACAGAATAGCAAGACTGCATGCGCATTGACATGGCAGACAGTATGGTTCAAGACAGATTTTATGGTAGCTCAAAAACATATCAGTTGCTACATGTTTTACAAGGGGAACTTGGGGCAGATTCTGAAGATGAAGGTATTCCTAAGTACATTCAAGCATTGAACAATCTGCCAATAGTGTTGCCAAAGTTTAGAAATGTTTACGAGAGTTTAGGGGAACCTAAACAGCCCCTTAAACCGTCCAGACAACAGCCACCAAAACTGGAGCTGAAGCCTTTACCAGAACATCTGAAATATGCATATTTATGAGCTGTAGAGACGCTACTAGTTATAATTACAGCAGATTTAACACCTACAGAGGAAGATAAATTGCTTCGTGTGTTGAGAAAATATCAAGATGCATTGGGATGGACAATTGCGGACATCAAGGGAATCATCCCAACACTATGTATGCATAGAATATTAATGGAAGACGACATGAAGCCAACAGTTGATGCTCAACGCCGCCTTAACCAAATTATGAAAGAGGTGGTCAGAACAGAGGTTATGAACCAAACATTTAGTTGAGATAGCATACCTGTAGGTTGAGCCGAATCAATGTTCCCGACACTAAACTCAACCTTTGTCAAAGATGTTGCATTCACCTACTCATAAGATGCCGCCATGGTGATTCCATTGTTATTGTCATCCCATATAACTTCATTTGCCTCTCCCTCACTTCTTTTTCTTTACACTTTCTCTCCCTCACTTCTTTTATTTTGCACTTCATCTCCTTCAATCTCATCCTCTTCCTCACATCCACTAAATAGATGTGAAACAACATAACATTTGGTCTGATTTTTAAGTAAAGCTAGGTCCCTCCTTACTTTCCGCTCAAACTCAGGACCTAAACAAAGGTCCAATAGTTTTTCCATCCTTATGACCCTTAACTCAATGGCGTCCTTTTCTCGCTTTACTTGATCCAACTCGAACCTCAACAAGCTTACCACCTTGTTCATGTCATCAAGGTCAACACATGAAGAGGGAAATGACTCTGACAAGACAAAAGCTGGGCAATCTTATGGCCAACTCCAATACGGTTGTCTCATCTCCTCCTCACTCGAATGTATCACTCACAACTAAATTGACTGTTTAAGAATACAAACAAAATTTGTATTCAATTATTCTACTTAATAATTTTATTTATCCTTATAAACAAATGCAAGGCTACAAACCAAAACTTTTTGATATGGAAAAAATAATCGTTCAACTTTCTAAACTTGGAAACAGACATCGAAATTCTCCATTGCAAAATACATGGGACAACTGTTGAATCAACAACTTTACAGTAATTCAGGTCCGCCAACTTAGGAATTAATTCGTATGCCCAAATTTACACAATTCATAGGATATATGTCATTATTTAAGTTTTAAAGTTCACAAAGCATAACTAACATGAACATTATTACCACATACCTAGAAAACATACGTCAAACCTTTAAAACTCTAGCCGGGCCTTTGCACTTTAACATGCTTACCATTTTTTTCCCTTCTGATTTCTTTGGCTTGTTCCCGTTAATTTACATGAGGCCTTACTTTTCTCCTTCCCTATTCCATCTTCCCTTTCACAGTTTTTGGGAAACTTTGTTGGTGCAAACAATAGACTATCTTTGGGTTTTGTCAAAGGACATCAAACCGTACGGATACCTGTTGAACGCATCCAAGTGCTTTACAAGTGTCAGGTAATTGACATTAATGTTCAAATGCTTGTCCCTTCCCAAAACCACAAGCTAGCTTGTAGATGTCGTCGCCCTCTATGTACTTCACAAACGCTTGTTCTAAATCTGAATATGTAATTTCTTCATCTCGAAAATATCTTTCCTTAAGTCTGATTTCATCATTGTCTCCATTGGAAATTTCAGGCACTTCCCCAAAACGGAGCGCTATGATCAAACAGAAATCTTGACGAGTGAATTGAGCAATGTCACACCCTATTAAGAAACTCAGTCCATTCAAGTCTTTCACACCTTGTGCTGACAACTTGATGCAAAACAATCCCACGCACAATTTGCTCACTAAACTGAATCTTATCAATATTTGCAAGATGACCAAAGCATAATTTGTTGAATTGCTCTAATTGTTATTTCGTCAATTTCGATCGAATTCTAGCTAGGTATGGATTTTCACGCGAGCAGCTATTCACTTGAGAGACATATGCCTTTGATTTTGGCCATACTACATTTCTTGAAAGGATTCTTACACAAATACAATATGAAACAACGTGAGCACATATAGATATATTTTTTTAGAAATAGTTATTTTCAGTAAGGGTTTGATTGATGATGGTTGATAGATTAATTTATTGCATACATAATCTATCTATATTTGCTTTGTTTTTTTTTATGAAATTGGTTAGTTTAATGTGTTTAGTGAAGATTTTGTAGGCATTCGTTCCTAGCAATGGTTTGGAGATAAAATTATGATTTCGAAAGGTTAAGGGATCGAAATGGGTGGAATTATTAAACCAAAGAAATCTTAAGAACTCACTCTGTCATTTCATCAAACACCTAGAGTGCATCTGTGCAAGTGTCAATTTATACTCACAATTGGTCTCAGTTACCAACCCCAGAAAGATAGAGTTAGAGAAACTTGTCAACTTTTTTTGGAGCTGAAATGTATGAAGTTGATGGAGGTGCTATATTATGCCTTGTGCATCTGTCAAGCTTTGGTGTCAAGACCCATTTGCATTTGTTGAAGGTTGATGTTTCTGTAAGCACCAATGAGCAATTTAGAATCTACAAGAATGATTTTTTTAGCCAGAGAAGAAAGACAAAGAAACAACAGTCCATATGATGGGCACCACACTTACCACGAAGGTGAGGACAAAGGAACTTTTTGGGGACCCATAGCAGTGACGGAGGTACACACTTTTACAATCGTCAATTTAATTCTCTTCTAGCTAAATATGGTATTACCCACAAGGTTGCTACTCCCTATCATCCACAAACTAGTGGACAAGTTGAAGTTTTCAATAGAGAATTAAAATGAATTCTAGAAAAGACGGTGAATGCTTCAAGAAAGGATTGGTCACTGAAATTGGATGATGCATTATGGGCTTATCGAACAGCGTTCAAAACACCAATTGGCATGTCTCATTATTGTCTAGTTTTTGGGAAAGCTTGTCACTTACTAGTTGAGCTAGAACGTAAGGCATATTGGGCACTCCAAACACTCAATTTTGACATGATTGCTACGGGTGAAAAAAGGGAAATTCAATTGATTGAAATGGAAGAGTTTCATAATGAAGCTTATGAGAATGCCAAGATTTACAAGGAGCGTACGAAGAAATGGCATGATAAGCATATTCTAAGGAAGAATTTCTTTGCTGGTTAGAAAGTTCTCCTGTTTAATTCCCGCCTCCGACTCTTTCCTGGGAAGCTTAAATCGCGTTGGTCTGGACCATTTACAATATTGCAAGTGTTTCCTTATAGAGTTATTGAAGTTAGGCATGACGAAAAAGGCATTATTTTTAAAATAAACGGCCAATGATTGAAGCCATACTTGGAAGTCAATTTTGATTAACAACAGACTTCCATTCCTCTACATGATCTAGAGTGATGACCTTGCAAGTCGGGCTGGGGACTATAAACTAAGCGCTTGTTGGGAGGCAACCCAACTAGGTACCTACTTTCCTTACCTCTTTAATTTTCATTATAGTTTCCTTCATTCATTGCTGTTACTATTCTTTGTCCTTACTTTTATTTTCTTTTTAAATATTGATGACAATGTTTGGTTTAGGTTTGAGGTGGGTAACATTCGTTTTATTTTAAATTTTTTCATTTTTAGTCTTTTTCGAGTTATACAAAACATTAGTGTTTATGTTTCGTTGAAACTATTTTGTTCTCTAACAGTGACAACCGTTTTATACAACTATGCCTTATTCTTAAAAATCTACAGTGGACCATATTCTCAATTTCTTTTGGCAATTCTATTGATGTATCCGTACTTTAAACCTTCAAAACAACATGATTTAATCTTACTCATTGAACCTCATTGTCCATTTTCTTGACATCCAAAATATAACAGACATCTAACGCGGTCATATCTTTCGTACCTTTGATGGAACAAATATTCTTGAGAAGAATTGCATATGTTATGTAATTTGGCTGATTATCATATAACATCAATTGTCCATCAAAAACAAAATGTTAGTAACGCTTGCAAAACAAAATGATCTAAAAATAATTTAAATAATTTAGAAGTTTCTATTATGTTTAATTGATAAATATGAAACTACAATAAAGACAAAAGATTTGAATGAGAGAATACTTATTTCATTTCTTCTACAGATTGTAATTTTCTCATAAAGTTTTCAACTTTCATCGTCATTTAATGGACGAGATTGGTGAATGAAAAATAATTTTTATTTTAATGTAATGCTGCAAATTCGTTGCTAGTGATTAATATTCTTCTTTTTGTTTACTCATACAATGGAAATGCGCTTCCAAAGACTCCAATGTCTAGATGCTTCAAATGTCATCAAGAACTATCCAGCATCTACGTTCTTATAGACTGGGCTGAATGAGCCAAAGTATGGCCTGATGTTAAGGACCGCTCAACCTGACATCATCACTGGTTACATAGATATTTAGTCAACTTTGTCAAATGCATTAGTGCATGCATATGCATATTTATCACTAGGGTTCATCATTGGGTCGAACCCACCTAAAGCTTTTAGTTTCCAACCATAATCGGGATAGGTTTAAGAGTTTTTTTTTTTTTTTTTTGGGGTCAAGTAGGGCTTAGTCGGGCCTAACTGTATGTCTTAGTTGTTGATGCTTATCATACAAAGAAGTAAAATCGGTGATTTCCCTAATGTTATAGCTCTGCAAGCTTGACCTCAAATTAGAAAGTTGGGTGGTAATGTTCTAAATTTTTGACCCAATCTTGTGAAGATCAACTCATTACCTCAACACGCAACCAAAATTTTTCAGAACATTCTTAACCCCTTTTTGCCTCTTGGTAGCCACTATTAAGACGAAGATTTCTATGACATCCTCCAAATCATAAGCAACATTTCTAACTTTTACAACCAAAATACATATTATTTAATCATCTCGATATCTTACATCTGCATTTTTCAAAAACACCTAAATTAATTGCAGCTCAGTTTGTGCATGCTCAATTTAATCACCGACTCTGTACAAGAACTTTGCTTCTTGGACGATGAAGTGACCAAACCTTTCACCCGCAAAGGAAACTGCTGCCTTAGCCATATTACCTTTCATCGAGCACCATAAGCTTAGCAAAACAAGTAATTGACCAAATTT